ACCCTCTTCTGTAGCATCCAGCCAGACCCTGCACTGTCATTATCTCCACTGAGATAATCAGTCCTCATCAGCTCACATCCCTCGGAAGATTTCAAGTCACCATCATAAAGACCCCACATAGATGACAGAACTCCATCTGGCTGGTGAGCAGGGTGAAAATCTGACAGTGCCGCCAGTATCTGGTGGGCTCAGTCAGAGCCGATGTTTGGGTGAGAACTCATGGCGTCCAAAGATGGTGGTGCTGCTCTTGGACAGAGCTATAAAAACCACATGTGCCAGGTATCACCCCAGTCCTTCAGCTCTACTTCTGCTTTTGTTAAAATCCACTCTAGGTTTACCATTCGGTGGCTGTTGCATAAAGCAAATAGTTTAAAATTAATGCCAAAACCACAAAATTACTAACCTGAAATCCACGCTACCAATAAGTGGCAAGGACATGACAAGAAAACTAAATTACAGATGAGTATCTCTTACACACACACACACACATTTATAAATCCTTAAATATTAGCAGTTCGAATTCAGCAATAACTAAATACCAACTGAATAATAACAGAGGGGTAACTCACCATGACCAAAGTGGAGTTTCTCTCAGGTTTGCAAAGTTGGTTGAATCTTCACCACATTAACAGAGCAAAAGATAAACATGATCATCTCAATAGATGCAGAATGACCATTTGACAAGATTACACACCATTTCCAACGGTGTGAACCCAAGAGTGAGTGCTTCCCTGAACTGTGTGCTCTCAGTGCCTCAGGGGCCCCACTCCCATCTCGGCCCTGCCATGCACACCACAGGCAACTAAGCACGCAGTTAGAGTTCACTATGATTAAATGCTTAAAACAAAAAAAATCTAAATTCTTCAGAGAAACATAACAGAACCCATGATCTACAAAGTACCATTTTTGCAATGTCCAGGATACAACCCCAAAGTATAAGACAGACAATGAGACAAGTTAATGTGACTCATACTCAGAATAAAAGAAAGTCAATGGAGACTTACTCTGAGAAGACCCTGATGGTAGAATTACCAAAGATTTTAATATACATACTAGAAATACACACAAGGATGTAAATATAAAAATGAATGAGCGAATGAAAAAGCTTAGCTAAGACTTAGAAACTAATTTTAGAACTGACAAATACATCTGAAATTAAAACTACATTATGTAGGCATTAAAGCAGAATGGGCACTGACAGGTCATTAATAGGGACAGTCAATGATAGATAAAAATTATCCTATTTGAAGAAAAAGCAGAAAAAATACTTTAAAAAAAATATATATGAACAGCCTCAATGACCAGTGAGCGGGCCGATATAAAAGGTATTACATATGTGTACTAGAACCCTAAAAGGAGCAAGACAATAGCAGAATTATTTAAGGAAATAATGGCTGAAATTTTCATAAATTTGATGAAAGACATAAATTTACAGATTCAAGAAGCTCAATAAGCCCCATGCATAATAAATACAAAAAGACCCCACATGTAAACATATCAGTTTTCCAAATTGTAAATTTTGTAAAATAGCTCTTATCATTTTGAAACAGAACACAGGAAGGACAAAAAGAAGATTTATAGCTTCTTTCTATATAAGTTGAATAGCTTAATGTCATTTAAAAATAAGCAAATATGAATGACAGTACATTTATGGTACTAAGATATGTTATTCACCTTAGGGTTGGGAAGAAAATATTGATTAAATCCTGATACATTTTGTCCCTTAGCACTTAAAAAACAATCATTTTTCATTTTTGAAATTTCAGTGAAATTTTGTTTTGTTATTCCAGGTATTTTAAAGTTCATCTGGAAGAAAAAATGCTTAAGAACGTTTAAGATCAGCAGAGCTATATACCTGGAATTTAGTTCTTCAAGCATTATTTTAAGTCAGTGGATAAATGATGCATCAATTAATAAATGGCATTACAATGGGCAACTGCATACTTTTTCATCCAAACCAGATTTTTTTTTTGAGGAAGATTAGCTCTGAGCTAACATCTGCTGCCAATCCTCCTCTTTTTGCTGAGGAAGACTGGCCCTGAGCTAACATCTGTGCCCATCTTCCTCTACTTTATATGTGGGACGCCTGCCACAGCATGGCTTGCCAAGCGGTGCCATGTCTGCACCTGGGATCCGAACTGGTGGACCCTGGGCTGCCGAAGCGGAACATGCACACTTAACTGCTGCACCCCTGGGCTAGCCCCTAAACCAGCACACTTTTAAGAGTGTTAAAGTGCTAGCTGAGATGAGACACCAGGACAGTGGCATAAACCAGAACAACATGGGGCACACCAAGATCAGGGTCACCCTGTTTAAGTAATGCTTTAGTATCTGGTGCAGGAAGAAAACAAGATCCTTACCTCGTGACACGCTTCAAAATCACTCTCACTTAGAGTGAACTGTGAAAACAAACCCTTAAAATAGTACCCAACGAAAAACGCTGGTTTTAATCAAGAACCAATATCAGAAACCATAAAGAAAAAAGGTTGATAGATGAGGCTACATAAAAACTCAAGGTGTGTGTATATATATATAGCGCTAAGTAAAAATCCTCAGATTGAAATAAACACAAAGTGGAAAAAAATGACAAACGGTGATTATATAAAAAGTTCTTACAAATAAGAAAAAAGAGAAACTACACCAACAGAAAAATAGGCAAAGACATGAATAAGCAGTTTACAAAATAATTATGTATGGCCAGCAAAGGTATTCCAAAATGTCCAACCTGACTAGAAATTGGAGATCTTTTTTCTCCATCAAAGATTGTGCACAGGGCCTGGTCCTGGTGAAGATGTGAGGAAACTGGTGTTGGGTGTTTAAGTTGATAGAATTGTGGCAGGGGGACCTGTCAAACAGGTACTGATTGCAATCATGCAGACCCTCTGGCCTGGGCACTCCAGATCTATGATCCAAAAGAAACAGTGGGCCAAGTGTGTAAACATGTATGCACGAGGATTTCCATTTCCAAAATGTTTATAATAGCAAAAAATACAAATAAGCATCTTTGGGCAATTAATTAAAGTATTGCCTGATACATTCATGAGTTCTGAAAAAGTTAAAAACTGGTCCCCTGTAATGCTGCTGAAAATTATGAACCTCAACCCATGAAGTCCCAAGATGGCATGGGACTTCCCAAAAGTGGGCTCTCCCTCAAGGTGGCACTCAAGGCAATTTGCTTCCAACTTTATATTCTTCTATATGTCCTTTTCTATTTTACAATGAACATTTTGTTTTTTGATCCTAAGTATTTTCTGATCCATTCTGAGGAGCAAAATTTCAGCACGAGTTCCAAAAAGTGTTGAAATCAGTCAAATGCCTCTTGCAGACGGAACTGAAGAGGCTGGGACCAAGTCTTAGGAGATCGTCTCTGGTATCTAGAGGCTTGGTTTGGTTGCAGAAAGAAAACGCAAACATAAAAACCTTTAGTCATACAAGCTGCAGAGGTCCAGTGCGAGCGGTGGCCAAGGAGGGGAGTGGGCTCCTCGTGTTTCGGCATCACCCTACCAGCCGTGGTGAACCGAGGGCTTCTGAGAAGGGATGTGCCCTCAACAATGCCACTGAGGGGACTAAGAGACAGATGAGCCCCAGGAAGCGGGAGGGAGGCTGCAGGGTGCCAAGCGACTCTGTCCCCCCTCTGCAGACATTATTAGAGGCGTTAGAGGAGTGGACAGGAAGGGCAGATGAACAGCACTGCCAAGAACCTTCCTTACCCACCTCCTGGAGAACCCAGAGGAAAGCCTGGTGAGCTGTGCTGTCTGGGGCATAACTGGATGTTTACGTTGAGACTTCATGGAAAAATAAACCACTAGTGCTGTCCAACCCAGCCACCAAGCAGAGGCTTCTGGAAGCCCCTGGACAGAGACTTTTATGTCTGTGTTCCTGACCTCCATCTTCAGGGGCTGGCAGGACTCAACAAAGTGAGGAGCTGGAGAAGGCAGCAGCCCTGGCTTAGAGCAATCCCTTTTCTCTATGTAAGGCTTCAAATCAATGCTTATTAGTTTGAAAACAAAGTCTGCTGCTCGGTTCTAAATGAACCCATGGAAGGTTCGCCCGACAGCCTACTCACACCAGGGACACTGCTCACACAGACATCTTTCTGGGGTGGTAAATGGAGGTGATGAGCACAGGCCTGGGGAGGGTGGATAGTGATCTGCTGTCCATGAGCCTCCTCTGGGCATTTCCCAGATGAGACGTGGTACCTTCATTGTCCCCAGGAGGGGAAGCCCCGAGGGGACAAACGAGAGCCCTCATAGCACATCAGATGGGGCGGCTCTGCAGCTGACCCTGGAGGCTGCCTCCACTGCCACTGTAGCGCCCCTTGGTGGGGGCTCCCTCACCTGTGTTGTCACTTTACAAAGGAGGCAAGGCTATACCCCGAGGGGCGGAGTCAGGGCCTGCTCCCACACTGTGGACTCTAACAGGGTGTGCGGGAGCATTCCTGGGCTGTCCAGGATGGGTCTCTCTCAGGGCTAGTGAACAAGCCCCTGAATCTGCGCTGCGTTCCTCATCAATCCGAAGCTGTCTCTGTACTGAGACATCCACCTTCTTTATAGGCCTTTTCCCCTAGTTTAATGTATATTGGGATACACTAGAGGGATTGCATTTGGATAAAGTATAAACTAGTTATCATATTAATGTGAAGGATCGTTCCTACCCGCCTACTGAAAGTTAGAGCTAAAATGTCAGATGAGTCAACACATCAACAGGGCGGCCCCGACACCACACAGGTGTCGCCCCCAAAGTGAGCCCAGGCTCGCCCCCAGGGACAGCGGGCAGAGCTTGCCTGACGGACGAAACAATGCCTGAACATTCCTCTCATCACCTCTGCTCCACAGGCAGGAATCTGAAGGCCAGGCCAACACCTACATGTGCAGCAGGGCATCCTGCCGCCCGGACAGTGCAGGCACGCAGACACATGGGGTGTTCCGAGGCCTACAGTCCAACCGCTGTGAAAACTAGGGGTTTGGCTTTGTAACATACAATTCTTTTCCCTTGACAGGTGCAGAGTACAACAAAATTAGTCACTTTTATTTAAAAGAAACATTACAAATAAATGTGCAAAATTAAATTTCATGATTAAATACACATAAAAGTAACATGCATACTTTACATCGAAATCCACATACAAAGTTAGTTGATTACATGACAGTAAAAGAACTGGCAAAATGGAGAACTTGCTGCTGCAGATTTTAAATGTTTGCAACCTAAAATCAAAACCATAAAATTAAATTTCTTTAAAGGTAGTTTAAGAAAATTAAATATAAACTCAAGTAGTACTAAGAATAGAGAGCCCATAACCTATTTCAGTTACCAAATCTTAAAAACCGTGATGTGCCTTTCATTCTCAAAATGTTAGTGTGCAGCTATTCTTAGAAATGCTGGGGAGAGAAAAAGACGGAGAGATGGCAGGTGGAGCGGCAGGTGCCCGCTCCCGCCGAGAAACCAGGTGCTGCTCTGGAGGGACGGCGGACGCTTCCCTTCACATCCTGTAAGCTAAGTGACGCTTTCTTCTATGACGAGGTTTTCAAAGTTTGCGTGTTACTCTGTTCCCTACGTGTAACAGGGAAGCTTTTAACCGGAGTTTCACCAGGAGACCACAGGCGACGCCCAGAGCGCTCTGCTCACTGGGTGGCCTGGCATCAGCCTCAAATCCAACAGCTCCAACACAAAGACATGTGCACACACAACCAAACCACAGGTTTACCACAGGCACAGAGACGACCACGACACGGGGGTCACATGGGAAACACCCACCCTGTGTTCTGTAATACGCTGTCTTTTTCCTTCAGGTTCAGATGGGAGAAGGAATTCCTTTCTCATTTTCTAAGGCCAGCTGCTGGTATTATTCTATTTAAATCTGGTTATAATGTAAGAACTAACATTTACAGATTTATTCATTTCCCCATTATAGACTCAGTAAAAATGATGGACTCTGCTGCCAAAACCAAATTTCAATTTATCCATCCTTTTCTTAACCCAGTCCCTAAGTTTGTATGGAGCCCTCAACTGTAGGTGCGAGGATGCGGTGGAACCACTAACGCTGGCGTCACGGTTGAACTAAAGGTAACAAGCCAGCAGTCGGGCACGAGCTGCTCAGAGCCACTCAAGTGTCTGTAGTGCCCTGATGAGTATGCTTCTTTAGTACTGGAAATGGGAAGCCTTGCTTAGGAAAACAGACAACCACATATGGCTTTGAGACCAAGGTCCCCTAGACAGTCCCTCCAGCCTGTTACCCACAAGGCCGAAGGGCGCCGGCACCAGCCCCAGGAAGTTGAGGGGCACACTCAGCGCTTTTGGGGGTGATCGGCCGTGGGTGTTGATTGCACTCCTGGTGAAGAGTCACAGCTTGTCGTCGGTCATTTCTAGAAACTGCGCATAGACGTCCCGGATGCATTCCCCCTTGGGGTTGAAGAGGAATTTGTAGTAGCTGCCATCTGCACAAATCGCTGGGACAGAAGGAGACCCATTTTATTCAAGTGTCTCTTCCCAAAGTTAAAAGCAAGCAGCCCTCACCGAGCTGAGCTGAGCAGCAACTCAAAGCGATTGTGGGCGGCGAGGGGCTCACACATGTGGCCAAGAGTCCCAACTAATCTGGGAGTGTTGGCAACACGAAAAAATCCTCTTTGGTCATCAGTTCAAAAACCAAATGATCTGTCCCAACGATTTCCTGGGAAACCCTGGAGGGCAGGGAGCTGATAACATCACAAATGGCTGTGCAGACCCCGAGTGGGATGCACTGCACCCCCAGGAGAGAGAGAGGAAGGGGCAGCTGGTGGGGCTGGTGTGGTGCTGAGAGACATCCTGACTTGAAAGGACCACTTACCAATGACAGCATTTGGCTCCGTTCCAAAGGCACAAATGCATGGAGAGCCTGAGGGAACCTGAAACTTGGAAAAACTCCACTTGGAACTGAAGTATTTTGGAAGGAAGCTGGCTGATGCCAAACTATGAGGACAAGGAAGAAAAGGAAGGACGTTACATTCACCTAACAAAGTTAAAAAGACACTGCTCTCTTTCATACAGTCTTAGCCTTAATGATCTAACATCTGTTTTTGCTTTTAATTTTTTTATTTCTTACATGAAAAAACTAAGTCTTTGCAAATGGCTTTATAATAAAACCAGAAACCATTAGCACCTGAAGGGGCACAGGTTTCTACTGCCACTAAGTCAGTTTTCTAAACACAGGGACAGCCACTGGAGTTCAGGACCAAGTTCTCAAACATGGAAAGGTGCCTGGATCCTCATCAGACATTTTCTAAGAGTCAACAACAGGGGAGTAAAGATGTCACTGTTGTAGCATCAAATACTCTGTACTGATTTTCAAAGAATCAAATGAACGGCTGATGAGAGAGATCCCGACTGTGACTTAATTCTGAATTTGCCCACACTGAGATGACAGTCCTTTTAACTTTGGGAAACCTACCTAGACTGTTTATTCCTTTTTGGATCTTCGGCAGCAAAAATGTGCACTGTGCCATGGTCACTGGACACGCAGATGAGGGAAGCGTCCTGATTGAAGTTAATGCTGCCGAGAAAGCAGAAGCAACTCGGTTTTTGTGTGAATGCAGTAGAGCCCAGCTCCAACCACAGCAACAAGCCATGCGAGCTCACGCCTCAAACCCCGGCAGTCCCATATTCAAGACAGCAATTTTAAGAGCCACCCCCTCTTTAGACAGCCAACAGTGCTCACATGGAACCAGAGGTCTAAGGTGGACAGGACCCAGCGTTCTCAGCTGGGCCCCTCCTTGGGTGCACTGACAAGGCTGAGTGGCATGGAGAGCAACTCTGAAACCCCAGGGTCCCTGAGGCTACCCACTCAGGTGAGAAAAACGCCTCCTCCACAAGCCTGGCCCCTCGAGGCGCAGGCTACCCCTTTGGAGGTGGGCATCGCTGGTCTGGGGCAGGTACCTGCTCTGGCTGGAGAGGCCCTGAGAGCAGACAGACAGGAGAGCGTGCCGCTCACCACAGGGCCCACAGGCACATTCTCTAAATTCATACATTAATTACGTTTTTATCTCAGCCCCAAATGCTGCTCAACACCTGCAAAGACCACAGATGCAACGAATGAAATCCTGCCCAAGCTGGGGTCCAGCCACTTCAGTGCAACAGACACCAGGGGGTGTGGAACAATTATCGGAGAGGAAGTAGTTCAGTCTCTCAAAGGAGGCGGAAGGAATTACAGGTAAGCTGACAAGGTCTCTAGTATTTGCCCTAAAATACTACAGAAAACTATGCTGAAGGGATAGTGAAGACATGAAATAAAACTGTAAATACTGATAAATACTAAAGCAGAGTGATGGGTTAACAGCGGTTAATATAATATTCTTTCTACTTTTGTATATATTACCATAATAAAAAGTCAAAATTAGTAATAATAAAACGAGCTGAAACCCGACCCCTTAACAGCAGAGCAGCCTCCGCCCGCCTCACAGTGGGGGTCATGACTCTCCCTTCCAATCACACAGCACCCATTTCCAGGCAGCCCAAAGCAATGGCCTTCTCTAGGGCGAAATGTTCACTCTTACCAATAAATATTAGCTGCTTGAGATCCTCTTCGTAGTTCCTGGATTAAATGCCCTGATGAAGTATCAAATATTCTTATAAGGGTCCCCTTTGAAAAACAGTGAAGTGTTTCATTATCAAAGATTCACAACTTTTTAATTAGTTTTTTGAAATGATTTATATTCAAAAACCCATTAGCCCATAAAATCCTTCCCCAACTCACCCTCATGATCTAAAACTCAACCTTTCCCTCTGTCCTACCTGAGGACAAGTTGGTGACTCTTTAGTCCAACAGCACTGGGCAGTGAGGGAGACCTGGGGCCCAGGTCCACGGGCATCGGCCTCCACTAAGCCCCTGCATCGGCTCCCTGGTGGAGCCCCAAGAGAACACAAGGCCCAGGCTGACCCGTTCCCTGAGTGATGTCAGTTCATTGTCTAGAGAAACAGCATCTTATTTATAACTCCCACAGCTAGATAGAGACGCTAAGACTGTAATTCAGCTGCCAAAAAGATGAGGCACGACCAAATAAAACGGCTTTTGGACCATCTATGTCAACCACAACTCATTTCCTGAGAGAAGTAGCCAAGAACCTGCGGGGAGTCAGAATCCTCAGGGAAGGACTGGTTTCCTGCAGAGGCCACGAGTCAGTCCTAAGGAGTGCGAGGGCAGCTATGGGAGCACACGACCTCAGTGAGGGGCGACACGCACTCACTTTTTCAGATGCCGTTGCAATTCTTGTTCCCTGCAGGTTGAGAGCAATGCAGCTCAGGACGCCCTCGTGGGCAGGAATGTCCACGGGTGGCTTCTCAGTGCTGGCCAGGTCCACAAGCTGCACATGGCCCGTATGTGTGCCCGGGAAGGCCAGGAGGGAGTTGTTACTATTGGGGCACAGGACACAGAGGCCTAAACAGAGACAGAGAAAACCCACCAAGGACTCAAAACCACCTTCAGAGCCTCTGCTGCCACACAACCAAAATCTGCTCTCTGCCCTCCAGTTCCCAAGAGAAAATAACAGGAATTATTCACGGGTTTCTATTTAAATCGGTCACAAGATCTTTTCATTGTAAAGGGTATCAGAGGGCCAAGCAAAGCTACCTCCCAGGAGACCATCTCATAATTGGAAACATTTACTGAACTTATTATTGAATAAACTTTATCAAATGTCTGTCTTTCGTCATGTCAGCCACTGACAATGCAAAATTGTAAAATCTAAAAACTACTCCATTAACAATAGCATAAAAAAACCAAAATATTTAGGAATAAATTTGACAATAGATGCATAAGACAGTGCGCCACTGCAAAGGAGAACCAGAACCCTGGCCGATGGAGCACGTGCTGTGATCACATGCTGGAATTCACATTCCTCTACCATCAGTGCAGTCACAACGAAAACCTCCAAAGGCTTTTGTTTAAGAAAGAGACACACCGACAATAAAGCTGAAAAGAAAGGCAGAGGTCTTAGACAGTCAAAAAAATTTCTTGTAAAAGAAAAACAAGATTGCAAGACTTATACTACCTAATTTCAAGAATTTTTTTAAAGCTCCAGAAATCAAGGCAGTATGGTATATAAGGACAGAAACACAGATCATTTACACTTATAGGATCAGAAAAAAAGTACCAAGGTAATTCAATGCAGAAAAAATAGTCTTTTTAACAAATGTTACTAGAAACTTGATATCTATATAGAAAAAAACAGATCTGCACCTTTGCCTCATGCCATATAAAAAAATTAACTTGAAATAGCTCAAAGACCTAACTTAGGATCAAAAGCTATTATTTGGGGCCGGCCCAGTGGTGTAGTGAAGTTCGCAAACTCAGCTTCAGCGGCCCAGGGTTAGCAGGTTCAGATCCTGGGCACGGACCTATGCACCACTCACTAAGCCATGCTGTGGTGCTGTCCCACATAGAAAACAGAGGAAGATTGGCACAGATGTTAGCTCAGGGCAAATCTTCCTCAAGCAAAAAGAGGAAGACTGGCAACAGATGTTAGCTCAGGGCCAATCTTCCTCACCAAAAAAACAAACAAACAAACAAAACACGCACTATTAAACTTCTGGAAGGAAACATAAAGAAAATCTGTTATGCAAAAAGCCACAGATTAACTGAAAATATCTGCAAAGTATGACAAAGGGCTTTATCTAGAATGTATAAAGAATTCTTACAACTCAATAATAAGATAAACAATTTTAAAATGGGTAAAAGAGTCACAGACACTGCACAAAAGAAGACATAGGAATGGCAATAAGCATATGAAAAGCTGCTTAACATGAGTGGTCCCCAGAGAAATGTAAACCAAAACCATAGGGAGATACTATGACCACAGCCACAATAACGTGTAAAGTTAGAAAGATGGACAGTACCAAGTGCTGACAAGGATATGCTGCAATGGGAACTCTCCTAAGTCACTGATTATGAGAATGCAATATAAGGCCACTTTGGAAAACACTTTGTTAGTATTTTATAAAGTTAAACATATAGTTACAACATGACCTAACAATTGTACTCCTCAGTATTTACTCAAGAGAAATGAAAAATATATGCATGCAGAGATTTATACGTGAACAGTCATAGCAGCTTCTATTTATAAGAGCCAGAAAAACTGGTGGGGATAGTAACTGTGGTATATCCAGACCATGGAATAGTACTCAGCAATAAAAAGGGGCAAAATGATAATATACACAAAAAACATGAAGGAATCTAAACAATACTAAGCTAAGAGAAAGACACCAAACACAGCAAAACGTGGTGGTGGGCGACTGCCCGAGGAAAGTTTTTTGGGTGATGGGACTGCTGTCTTGACTGTAGTGGTAGTTATACAACTGTTTACAGTAAATAAAATTTATTGAAATGAGTTTTATGTAAATTATACCAAAATAAAGCTGGGAGAAAAAGACAAAAATTTTAAAGAGAAATTAAGATGACATAATGAATCACAAAGTCAGCTACAAGCAATCCTCCCTCCAGAAGAAAAAGGGAAGGAAATGCCTCAGAACTTAAGGAAAACATGATTCTGGGGCCCACCACAGGGCTCCCGAATGGCTGACTTTGGAAGAGTCTGGTGAAAGCCTGCCCCCCGCGACTCTGATGAGAGGGCAGGTCTCAGGACAACTGCCCAGGAGGCCGGGCTGTGGACAGTCCACCCAAGAGGACGCAGAGCGAGCTAGGGAAGGGTGTGGAAGAAGAAAGCCCTGATGCGCCTCAGGACTCCGCTCCCCACGGACGCCGGCTGCTCAGATAAAGACCTGCCTGGAGGAGAAGGCACCCAGTGCAGATCTGCGTCCCTGTCTGGACTGGACACGAGGAAGCCAATTTCCATCGTCCCTCCTTCTCTGAATTTCTTACCTTTAGGATTATAGCAGGTTTCAAAGACGTGCAACTGATGGGGATTGTGTGTGAATGTAAACACCTTAATCATGGAGTCCAAAACCACCACAATTCTGTAAAGAAAAAAATACAATTCCTCTCTCCAAAAGTGAAACTCAAAACATTTTGTGATTTTTGTTATCATTTTGAAACTCAAACACTGCAACACCATACACAAAAGGATCATTTGTTCTTTAGCCAGGGCCCCTTGCAGCTGAGGTCTTTGGAGCAGGGCACTGATGGGCATGCTCCTCGCACCTGCGTAGAGGCCAGCTAACAGACCGTTCTGAGGTCTGAAGACACATTATCTTCAAATATTCCCTCTAGAGTAAGAGCCAAGTAGAACATATGGGGCAGAAATTCTATTTCTATATGCTTTCAGATATGTCTTGATCATTCAGAAATGTTGGGAAGTAGAAGATTCTTGATTTGGCTCCAATATTTGCATTATCAAAGGCCCCTAAATACTGACATTACTGGAAGGAACAAACCTACCTATGAACGGGGCACGACAGACCCCTTTTTACATTGACCTTGTTGACACCCTTTGTCCTCCTACAGCTGAGCAGAACATGTAAATCATACCAAATTAAAATCCAGATTAATAAAGCTTTGCTCTATCTTGCTCAACATACTGGGAAAAACTCCTATATTCTCTTAAACCCATGAAGGCAATGGCTGAGAGAAAACTGCTACTTTCAACAGGTGAGGTTCAATGACACCTTCTCACTACAGGAGGTTCTGAATTTTCCTTTACTTTTACATTCAAAATATGTATTGAAGCAGCATTTGGAAAAGCATGGACTAAGAGTGAGGCAATTCAAGGTCCAAAATTTGTGTCCTCGTCTGCACCTGCTGGATGGGGCCAGCTCTCTTGAAGGACTGAGAGCCAAGGGCCTGGTCCATGGCAGGCCCCTTTCATCCATGCCCACTGATTACTTGCCTCCAAGAGATCCTTGAAAGCCAGTAAAGTTCACCATCTTCCTTGTGGCACATAAATAATCCTTATGTCCTTTGGGTTATTAACTAGTTATCACATCTTAATACATCATTTTCCTAAACACTTTTCTTCCTTCTATACAGTATTTCAGCCACCTTCAGAGAAAGCGACTATTCCACTTTGAGAATCAGATATCGAACATACCTATCTCGCCGCAATTTGACTGCCTTGACTTCTGTAGAAAATTCTATTTCAATAACCGTCTTCTTTTTCAGGTCATCCCAGATCATCACTGAAATGTCAGAAAGGATTTATGAACACAATAATAGGCAGGCTACAGTGCTGCATCGTTAAGGCCACTTCTGAAGGAGTCCTGACCCCACAAACACCGGACCAGGTAGAGATGTTGCTCTCCCACTAGGAACCACGGTCCCCCTCCCTCCCAGGTCTCAGAACACCTCCAACTCACACCTTTCCTTCTCTGGCAGCCCAGAGCTCACTTGTTCCCTCCCCTTCCTCCTCTTCCAGCACTCACACGCCTGGTCAACACTGGAGGCAATCAATCTCTGTCTCTCTCTGAAACACACACGCATTCATGCATGCTCTAATCTCTCCTCTTTTCAGGCAAACTCCCTACCTCTCCTTCCTAGGTTTCACTTGACTGAGCCACAAGGCAAGCCTAACCATAGTTACTAAGTGTGAAAAAGGTTTCGGTTTTATTGTGGAATTAGATGGATAAAAACCAGGGCCAGGGACCTCAACCCCACCCTGACTGTTCTTACTCTTCCTGAAGCTCAGGAATGTCTTCTGTCGCGTTTTCTTGCTCACACTGCAATATTTTATCATGATGGATTAGTAGTCTGCATCCAAAGGGCTGAGATAATTGACAGATAACCTGTGAGGATGGGAATGGCGACCAGCACTGTGCTTGGGAAGAGGCACGGGGAGTGGGGTATCCACCCATTCCCATCCTCTCTACTAGGAAAGCCATCCATGGAGGGTGTGACGTGAGGGAACGTGAGTCTCCCTCACAGTCAGGTCAGGGGCAAGGTGACCAAGGAAGGGAGGGAAGGAATGTTTCCCTGCAAGTCCTGACACCATGACCAACACAAGTCCTGGAGGCCAGATTCAGGCCTAAGTCTTGACAGAATGGACTAAGGGACCTAAGTTTCAAATCAAGAGATAATTTAATACCAGCCTGCAAGAACTACCAAACTTATTAAGTAACATAAAATGTACTTACTATTGAAGAGGTTAATTAAAATCTATGACCATTCAAAAATGAAGCAATTTTATTCTTCTTACTCCTTTAAAATACCATCTTTGTTTGATAAATCTCTTCATTCAACAAACCTCTAAAGTTGGCTCCTCCTTAAATGCACTAAACACGATATTAAGTGGAAGAATCACTAGGTCAATAGAGTTTCTTATCGAAAATAATAACCTTCCAGAGCCAACATGTTCACAACCTCCGGGCAAAGGACACTCGTACTGCTGAACTTGTAAAGGGATTCGGAAGCGCACTTCCTCTGGCTCCACTGCCTCACACCAACAAGTCTAACGGAAAACAAATGTAAAACCAGACAGAATCCCAGAGGAGCCATGTCAAGGGGGTCACAAATCGGGTGAATTCCATTATCAGAAATTTCTGGAAAAGGCGTGATGAAGCAACAAAGGCAGCATCACAAATTCTTGTTCTCAAAAGAAAAGTGACCAGATGCGATGCTTGGGTAGAGAGAAAAATCCAAGGACCTAACCTGGATTGACCGTCAATTCCCCATTTGTAAAGGGGGGGAACTCCGCTGGCCTCCAAGGTCTTTGAGCTGCCTTCCTGCAGCGTGCCAGCAAGTTCAAATGTGCTATGCAGGATTCTGTGTGTCTGTCTTTTAATACAGCTCCTGATAGCAAAAGGTATACAGTCATGTGCCGTATAACCACATTTCGGTCAATGACAGGCCCTTATGATGGCAGTGGTCCCATAGTCCCATACAGCATTGGTGTAGAGCCTACACCACCTATGTTTGTGTAAGTACACCCTGTGATGTTCTCACAACGATGAAGTGCCTGATGACGCACTTCTCAGAACATGTCCCGGTCATTAAGTGATGCAAGACTATATTCAGTAATTCTAGAATTCTCCTTTGTCCTCTAAGCTCTTGACTAAATGAAAAGGGCTTTCTGCTCTGCCTGAACAGTCTCCATTAGAACTCAGCTGGTCTCACTGTGACAGCCTGTCTCCTCCAGTCTTATTTTATTCTGTTTTTCAGAAACCAAAGATGCCAGACTCTTTACAGTTCAACAGCAAGTATCTTTATTTGTAATTATTAAGAGTAAATTCATGAAGGAATTTTGACATTATGAAAAAAACATTTTTAATCTTACAAAAGCTTAAACAGACTAAATTCTTATTTTAAAATTGCCTTTAGCACTCTACAATAAGTAAATTTAAATTTTTCTCAAAATTTTATGTTAGAAAATTGCTTTCCTCTAACTCTATAAAATTTGAGACCCTTTCACTTGTTGGGATTTTCCTATGGAGAGTAAGATGTTACAGGTGAAGGAGACCCCAGAGATTATCCAGTCCGACTGTTCCCTTGGAAGAGCCTAGGAAGGCACTCTCCTAACAGTGCCATAGGTAGGGGCAAGGGAAGGCCAACACACCGGGCTCCTGATTCCCTTCCTCATCAATGATCAATAAAATTCTTCGTGACAAGACAAAAATTGATCCAGCAGTAGGACTTCTGCCCATCCCCAAAGACGCCAGGTAAAGTAATTCTTATTCCATTGCACAACCCGCCCCTGTTCTCTCTCCAAGCACAGCTGCTTCCATGTCACTTCTGGGTGGCCTCTTGCAGGACTCACAGCCACAGGTGCTGCTCATCTGGGCCATGCTGGCAATGACCCGGACAGCACCCTGGGCTTTCTGCTCTTCAGCCTGTGACGACAAGCTGGGGGGCTGTACACACCTGCTCGGCTGTTCAGGAGGGGTTGTCAGGGTGACCCCTCACCTGAGGGCAGTTCATAGAATCCATTAGGCTCCACTGAGAACTGTGAGCCTGGGCCCCAGGCGTGTCAAGGCTCATCTAGAACTCTGTGCCTTTCTTCGCTTTCCTGTCAGGCCTGGGCTACACCCCACTGCACCATCTCAAGCAGACCTCCAGCTCCTCTTCCTGCCCAGGGCACCCCCAGAACACGCCCCACCCTCGTCTTCACTCTTTATTGGGAGACTTTCATCACTACCCACCAAACTTTGAAAGAGCGCAGTCTCCAGCTTCTCTGCCACTACCCATCCTCTGTGGAACCTGTCACTTACCAGCGGGCTCCAACTCAACAGTCTTCCACGGCCGCCAGTGGTCACCCAGGTTAGCAGGCCCAGTGACTTTTCTCAGGCCTCATCCTCCTCCACCCATCTCCAGCTTTTGACTCTGATGACCACACTTGCTTCTCTCTCCCTACCCCGTCCTGTGAACAACAGCTCCCGTTTCTGCCTCCAACCTCTGGTGTCTCTTCACTCAGCCTTACACACTGCTTTAGACTAGAATGTTCCTAAGATCTGACAGCACTGCCTTCCTGACCACACCCTCACCTGGTCTTCAAGGCCCCCTGGATCTGTCTCCACCCACTACCCCAATCCACCTGCCACCCTTCTGCCATTCTATCCTCCTTTCCTGGGTTTCTTTCTCTTCCCCCAATATCTAGTTGGTAGGCATGAAGCACACAGCTGTGGTTGGTTAAGTTTTCTGTTTCTTCCTTACTTAAAAAGAACCAGATCTTTCACACTGCAATCTCTTTGAACACACACAGACTTACACACACATACCAAAAACAATATCCTTAAACCTAGGGCCAAGTTGGTTTTTTGTTCTACATGGCAACCAAAGTAGTGTTTCTGGAGGTCAACTGCTCTTTGTAAGAAAAGTAATCTCCCTATATCTTGCTTTAAAATGCACTCGTCACATCTGTGATGTCAACCCACAGGAGAATACCCAGAACAAAATGGGGTCCAGAGGCATGGCATGCGCCCACTTCCAAATTAACTGAAAAGCAGGCAACTATGTTGATGAGAACAAGTGACCCTTGTCAGGCGTTTCTTCTTCTGGGAACAGCAGAGACCAGATGCTCTCTTTGTGGATGCTTTAGTCCTTCAGACTTCACAGGACTACCAGGGAATGTCAAGTGTGGCCAAAGACACAAAGATATTCTAAAGTTCCAGACACTGCTACACATGAGGCATGAGTATTAAATGCACAAGAACTTTACCTTTGTTGGGAGGGTATTTCGGCTTTTTCCCACCACCAACTAAAGCTAAATAGTTGCAGCGAAATAACATTTCAACATGGCCAACTCCTCCTTCTAGAAATTCTGAAATGACATTAAAAAGAAGTTAGTATATATATTTTACAAGAAAAAAAGTGAAAACCTAACACTGAGCATGTGATATTTAATCACAATTTATATCTAACTACAGTCAGAAACCAGAATGGTGACCACCTAGGAAAAATAATTAGCTACAGGCTGCATCCTGTCATCATGAACTGTGCTTTCATGAATAAACGCTGAGCACAGAGCATCCTAAGAAGTTATGAAATACCTAAATTCATATTTTAAGATGTAGGTAGCAAAATCTAAAAAAGCATGCTAAATGCTTCATTGCAGAAGTCGAGCTTTTTATCGTCTTAAACACCTCTTCCACTGAAGTCTGAAATGCTCAAAAACGTTCATGAACTACATTGAGGGAAATGTCAGCCAATTTTCAGAGGTCCTCCACGACAGAAGGCAGGCAGTGGGAAGCCCAATGAGAAGTCTGGGGCTCAGAGAAGCAGACCTGGCTCTGGGGGGTTTATGCTGCAGAGCAGGACTGCCCCACCCAGCTTCCTCCATCCTTGCACTCTGGTCGGTAATGACTGTAGCTCCTGGGCACAGCAGAAGGCAAGTAAGGAGCCAAAACCTCTGCAAATTAGAAGGTAACCTAAGAATCGACTTCCACCTGTGCAGGCATAGCTGCACAAGATGACTGCAAAGTTCATCAGCTCGGTCTATAAGAAACTTAAAATGCAAGGCCTAGTAGAAACCCTAGAAAGGACTATATATTTAATATTATTCACAGTGAAGGGGCTGGCCCCGTGGCCGAGCGGTTAAGTTCGCGCACTCCGCTGCAGGCAGCCCAGTGTTTCATTGGTTCGAATCCTGGGCGCGGACATGACACTGCTCATCAAACCATGCTGAGGCAGCGTCCCACATGCCACAACTAGAAGGACCCACAACAAAGAATATACAACTATGTGCCGGGGAGCTTTGGGGAGAAAAAGGAAAAAATAAAATCTTAAAAAAAAAAAATATTATTCACAGTGAGGACAGCTTTTCTTATAAACAATTTAATAGTCCTTTGACACACAAGCTACCTCAAAGTAATTCTGGCTTTAATAGGATGTGGCCACTGTCCAAACCCAAATGACTACAACGGTCCATTCCTTAAAGAGCACTCCTCTCGCGGCTAGGTGTGTGGATCAGATGCATAAAAGCCCAGGGCTTCTTTACCCCGCAGCAGAGGACACCACCTCCAGCAACTGAGGCCACTCCCTTGGTTCCCACAAACTCATTCACCACTCAGTAGGAAGATGAACTGCCAGTCCACATTTAGTCTTGGCCTTTAGACTCCTGAAAACATTAATGGACTGCAATAGACTAGAGCTCAGTGAAACTTCCAATAACCTGCTACTAAGTAATTGCTGACCACCCAATGGGGGAAAGGACAGTCTCTCCAATAAATGCTAATGGAAAACTGTACATCCACATGCAAAAGGATGAAGTTGGATCCTTAACTTACACCGTACGCAAAATTAACTCAAAATGGGTTAAAGACCTACACATAAGATCCAAAACTATGAAACTCCTAAAAGAAAACATAGGCAAAAAGCTTCATGACACTGGACATTGGTCATTGACATTGGACATGGCAATGATTTCCTGGATATAACATGAAAAGCACAGGCAACAAAAGCAAAAATAGACAAATAGAACTACATTAAACTCAAAAACTTTTGTACACTAAAGGACACAACCAACAGAAAGAAAAGGCAACTTAGAGAACAGGAGAAAATATTTGCAAATCATAAACCTGATAAAGGTTAATATTCAGAATATATAAAGAATTCCTACAACCCAACATTAACAACAACAACAAAATCAAATAACCCAATTAAAAAATGGGCGAAGGACTTGAACAGACATTTCTCTGAAGGCAATATACAAGTGTCCAACAAACATATGAAAAGATACTCAACACTTTCCACATCCTCATTAAACATTAGAGAAATGCAAATCAAAACCATGATAAGATATCACCTCACTCTCATTAGGATGGCCACTATCAAGAAAATCAGAAAATAACAAGTGTTGACAAGGACGTGGTCCTGTTGGTGCAGCTGCTACTGAAAACAGTATTTTGTTGGTTCCTCAAGAAATCAAAAATAGAATTACCACATGATCCACTAATCCCATTTCTTGGTTTATATTCAAAAGAAGTGAAAGCAAGATCCCCAAGAGATATTTTCACACCCACATTTATAGCAGCAGTATTCACAATAGCCAAGAGGTAGAACGAACACAAACCTCTATTGAGGGATGAATAAAATGTAGTCTACCCATATAATGGAATATTCAGCCTCAAAAAGGATGGAAATTCTGACACATGGTACAACATGGATGAACTAGGAGGACATTCTGCTAAGGGAAATAAGTCAGGCACAAAAGGACAAACTCCGTATGATTCCACTTACATGAGGTCCCTAAAGTTGTCAAATTCATAGAGACAGAAAGTAAGATGGTGGATGCCATGGGCTGGGAGGCTGGGAATGGGGAGCTAGTGTTTAATGGGGACAGAGTTTCCGTTTGGGAAGATGAACAGAGTTCTGGAGGTCTGTTCAACAACGGGAATACGTTTAACACTACTGAACTCTACACTTTAAAACGGCCGGGAAATTTCACGTTATTTTCTTTTTATCACAAAAAAGCACAAACAACAACAACATCTTTACAACCACTTTAGGAGGTAGGCAGTTGTCCTCATTTTACACATAAAGAAAGTGAGACAGGGGCCGGCCCCATGGCTGAGTGGTTGGTTACACGCTCCACTTTGGCGGCCCAGGGTCTCATCGGTTCAGATCCCGGGTGCAGACATAGCGCCGCTCGTCAGGCCATGCTGGGGCAGCACCCCACATGCCGCAACTGGAAGGACCCACAACTAAAATACTCAACTACGTGCTAGGTGAATTTGGGGAGAAAAAGCAAAAAAAAAAAGAAAAAGAAACCGAGATCAAGAGAAGGTGAGGAATTCACCCAAGACAGGCTGCACTATGCAAGTCCAGGCCTCTCCCTGGAGCAGAGCAATGCTTCTCTGACCACTGAGAAAACCCACTCCAGCCGTGCATCAGATGAAGGACCTACAACACCCTAGAGGCAGGTGGGAGAAAGCTGCTCAGGGATCCTCAAGACAGCTTCCTGGCACTACCAGCTTCCAGTCCCTGCCAGCGGTGGGCGCGCCTGGGAGAGGCACTCCTGCTCATGGCCAATCATGCGGTCTCCTTACTCAGTGCCACAGTCCCAGGAGACAAGGCCGAGAGCCCAGATCTGGAATGACTGCTGCAATGCAGGCAAACCGCCTTCCTCATTTAGGAAAGCAAACCACGAAGATAAAAAAGGAACAAGGTCAAGTCTTCCGCCTGTTTTCTATGGTTGAGTTGTAAGTTGCCAGAAATGTAATAGCAGATGAACCTACAAGCACATGTGGGTGAATTTCTTACAATGCATCACCAAAAAGCATTGCACCAAATTCACTACCCGCTAAACTCAAGGACAGCCTGCCTCAGACAGTGCAGCCCAGCAGCACGAGTGAACAACACGTGCACTACAGCAGAATGATGGCAAACCTTTCTGGAATTTAGGAGTGTTAGATGCTTCTTGTCTAACTTATTTTTATAAGAAATCCTGAATTTATTGTAAACATTTCATTAATTAGGAAGCAGTTGTTAATACGCTAATGATTCAACTTTGAAACTAATATCTACAATTCCTCTCTAAGTTTCTGGGTCAACTTAAGTACAAAGCATCCTGAAATTTACAAGTCAAGCTGTTTCAAAATACTTTGTAACTTTCCTAAGTATGTATAAAGTAGAGTTGTCTTAATTCACTATGCAACCAAAACAAACAGAAGCCAGATGCCCGGAAGACTGATGGGAGATTCCCACCATGCCTGTGACACTCACTGATCCCACTGACTCACGTTAGAGTAACACTGCTGCTACCGCTATAACAAACCAGGAGGCACAAGCTGACAGAGCACTTAACGTGGGCCAGGCGCTGCGTTCTACACATCCACTCATCTTTACAACCACCTTGGGAGGTAAGCAGTTGTCCTCCTTTACACATAAAGAAACTGAGACCAAGGGAAGGTGAGGAAGTTCCCCAAGGTTACACAGCAACTTGGTAAGGGGCAGAGCCAGGATTCAGGTCTAGAATCTCAGCCCTTAACCACCAGGCTATGCTTTATTTCTCTAATAAATGAAAGTTGCAGAGCTCATCTTACAAAATCAACTCCAGATATAAAGCAACACTGACTGCTTTAGATACCAGGGTTATGAGGAAGATTTCACTTGTCAAAGGGGTTCCACTGCCACACGAGTTGTTAAAATGGAAGGGGGATGTTTGGTGGAGCACCAGAATGCGCAACTTCCTCTTACAGATGAGAAACAGCTCAAGCATCAGAAATTGTAACTTGCACATTGAATAAAAACGAAAACCACAACTGCAGGAAGAAAAAGGATGTTGTTCATTTTCTGTAATTTATCCGAGATTTGTTCATCTGTTGGCAGTGCTTGATTCTCCCAGCAGGTAAGGACTGGGAGACAACAAAAGCTTAAGAAAAATATGTAGGAGGAAAAAACAAATTGAAAAAAAAATTCTACCTGTAAATTTAGTATTTTTCTCCTGTCAAATGGGAAAAGGACCACTGTTATTATCAATAAAATTCCTGATTCCAGCTTTTGAAAACTTGTATCCCATGAAAACATAATTTAAGACACTGAAATAAGTAAACAGAAGCAACTATAATTTATTGTTACAAATAATATTTTCTAAGTGTTGGTCATTTACCAAGAGTTAAGAGTCCCATATGCTGCAGTTTAATCCATCATTTGAATTCTCTACAATTTACACTCAACAGGAAGAGTGACAACGGCTTGCATCAACTACACCTTTTTCTTCCTGTACAGCTAGCAAGGACTGAAGACGGGAAAAGACATGAGTTGTTCCAAAGTTGATAATTCACTGGCGAAATCAGAGGCAGGGCGACGCCCGCTGAGTCAGCACTTATCCCCGCACAGAGCCCAGCACCCGAGAAGCTCGGCGAAAGGAAGACGGCGCCATCCAAGTTGACGGAGGGCCACTAACCCCATTTACTTCTCACAACCAGCCGTCCCACCCCCGCTACCTGCAAGATAAAATTTAGACTCTTTGAGGGCTGGAAAGGGGAGAAATTATAAAATGTCAGTTACCCCTTACCTTGTTTCTCTTTTTCTTTTAGTGGATCAGTGTTATAGACTCGGAATCCATTTTCCATCCCACAGGCAAAACATCCTAAAGTGTGAGAGAAACACATTAATCACCTTGCTGGGGTCTCCATTAAGGACCCCAGACCTGGAGCTGCAAAAGGAAAGAAAGGGGTCTGGAGAAAGTGGCCTCTCCTAAGAACTCTTGGGGACGCTCAGGCCCCACAGACATTGTCTGCACACGCCACAACTACTCTTCTCACAGACTGTTATTAAATGATGTACACGTCCTAGCACATTCTCGGTCTGACATTTAACATGCAAAGGAGTCTCTGGAGTTACTCACTCCAACCTCCCACTTCAGGACCCTTCTCTGGTGTTCCTGAGGACCAGGCTCCACCTGAACTCTTCATTCCAGGAGGAGGGGCTCACCGGCTACCTCCACAAGCCACTCTGGCACTGCACATTTCCCTCAACACCGGCCTCTCGTAATGCTCACCACATAATGGCCTGCCTGTTCCAAACACATCTCTCGAGCACCGTGTGTCAGGTGCCAAGTCCCAGGGAGGCAACGATGAACAAGAAAGCCCATGTCTCTTGGAGAACAGCCACAATCCCAGCAGGTGCTGACACTCTGGCTTGGGGAAAGAGAGCAAAGGGCTGCCCCAGGATAGTCTTTTAGATGGCAGCTCTGAGGTCTCCCGTGACCTCAACTCTCTCCTGTAAATAATCCTAACTCCCTAAACCCTTGTCATGGCCACCAGTGACCCGGGTCACCATCTCCAAGTCACACAGCAGGTTGTTAACGGTCCAGTTAAGGGAACTGTCAGGAGCTGAAGGAAGCACTCAAGTTTGAAGATGATCCTATGACCTGGACTCCATTTGCCTTAAGTGCAACCCAAGACCACATTAACCTCCCTAAACGCTACCATGTCTGACTGTTGGCTCATGTGGCTGGAAGGACAAAAGCCAAACTCTCCAATTCTTTTTCACAAGACACGCTGCAAAGCCTGGTCCCTCACAGCAAGCGCACAACTAGTCTGCATGACAATCTTACTGATTTCCAGCTTTGGAACCAATTATTCTGCTCTACCAGCCACCCTTCCAAAGGTGAAAAGTGTGCTTCTATTTTTTGTCCAAGTTACTTAAAAACTGCAGAACACGACAGATTCAAGGACCCATGACACTTACCCAGCGAGCTGGAGACTGTGTTCTGCAATCAACTTTCAGGCTCTGAAATGCACTTTATCTTAGCCTGGAGTCTGAAATACACTCGAAAGTGCCACATTGCTTATTATCTCATAACTTATTCTGGTTTGCAACTCCCTCTTTGTGTTACTGGAATCATGTAATCTGGACACAGATATCAGAGTTTTGTTTCTCAGAAGATACAGACACAATACAGTAGCTGAATCTTTTTCCTTCCTCTGTCAACTATTACATCTTTCCTGAATTTTAAGCCTGCACCTACCTTATTTGTCTTCACCAGAACACATATATTTCGGACAGACATATAAAAATATACAATCTTTATAAATACACAAGAGAAAAGCAGACCCCAATAGAAAACTTAGCAGAAGACTTGGACATTTCGTAAAAGAGAATATCTAAATGGCTAGTAAACATACAAAATAGGGAAGTGCAAATACAATCTCAAATACAACACAAGGAGATCTACACACTTCCCCGAATGGCCAAAATGATGGAAAATACCAAGTGTGAGGTGGGGCAGGGCACAGTAACTGCTGGTGGAGGGCAAACTGGTACAACCATTTCGGAAAACTGTTTGCACTATCTACTACAGCTGTCAAGTCCACTCCGAGGTACACGTGCCTTGCAGAAACGACAACGCACGTTCACCAGAAGACATCTATTAGAATGCTTGTGGTAGCACTATTATACTCGTGATAGACAAAAAGGGAGAACCTACCCAAATGCCCACCAGTGGTAGAATGGATAAAAGAATTTGATACATGCACACAAAATAACACTATACATCAATGAGAATCATCTGTACTCAACACGGAAAAAAATCTCAAAGACATTATGTTGAATAAAAAAGCCAGAAACAAAAAGAAAGTGCAAAGACAGGCAAAACTCATCTCTGCTGTCAGAAGTTACACTGTGGGGCCGGGCCCGTGGCCGAGGGGTTGAGTTCACCCACTCTGCTTCGGTGGCCCAGGGTTTCCCCAGTTCATAGCCTGGGTGCCAACATGGCACCACTCATCAAGCCACGCTGAGGCGGTGGCCCACATTGCAGAGCCAGAGGGACCTAAAACTAGAAGATACAACTACGTACTGGGGGGCTCTGGGGAGAAGAAAAAAAAAGAATGGCAACAGATGTTAGATCAGGTGCCAATCTTAAAAAAAATAACAATAATAATAATAATAATTTCTGGGTCCGCCTGGTGGCGCAGCAGTTAAGTGCCCATGTTCCGCTTCGGAGGCCTGGGGTTCCCCGGTTCAGATCCCGGGTGTGGATATGGCACGGCTTGTCAAGCCATTCTGTGGCAGGCGTCCCACATAGAAAGTAGCGGAAGATGGGCACAGATGTCAGCTCAGGGCCAGTCTTCCTCAGCAAAAACAGGAGGATTAGCAGCAGATGTTAGGTCAGGGCTGATCTTCCTCCAAAAAAAATAATAATAATAATTTCTAAGCCTAAAGTTGCAATGAGAGTGTTAAAAGCGCCGAGAGTAAAAATTAAAAATCAGTATAAGTAAAAGCAAAATGTAATCAACTCAGCATCTGGCATAAATTTATATCACAGGAAATTAACCTAAAGGTAACCACAAGCTTAAGTAAACAAGCATTTTTTTTCCCCGAAAACACTGTAAGCTTTACTCAAAATTTGTTACAATGAAACAAGCTAGTTTTACAAAAGCGCATTTTTCAGACAACTGAAATACATCCCTTTAAAAGCCGAAGCTGTCTTTTTAAAACAATCTTCGATGAAACCTTTATAAAAATATTATAAACTTTACCGCTTTCTTAAATAATTAGCATCGTTATGAGCCTCAATTATTATACTGAAGCTTAACACAAAGATTCCTCATTTCGTGTTAAGGCAGGTATATAAAAATGACGTCCTTGCATTAAATGGGTTCAATCTTTCTGCTTTCACAGACGCGAAAGTCACCGCAGGAGTTTTTACAGTTCTCTCCCCTCCATCACTATCAGCCGGCCAACTCTTCACTGAAAGCACGTTTCTTAAGGAGTTGTCACAACCCTATTAAGTCCTTAAAGAGTTCTCACATATTACCAGAACCTCTTAAAAACCCCACCAGCCCTCCTCCAGTAATCGGAACCCAAGCGCTCAGCCACACACTGCCCGATGTCCTACATCGCGCCCCCAACGCACACCTCCCGGATCCTAAACGCGTTCCTCCGCAATCCCCGCGGCGCGAGCGAACCCACACCGCCTGCGGTCCCCGGCCGCGGCCGCCACCCCTTCCAGCCTTCCCGGTGTGCCCGCCGCCGCCTCCGGGAGCCCTCCACGGCCCCGAAGGCCCGAGAGCCCGCCGCGCGCAATGGGCGAGAACCTCCGGCTGTCTCGGGCTCGCGCAGGTTCCACCGTCCCCGCCGTGCCCCTCGGTGACACCGACTCGACCCCGCAGGCCGGCCGGCGCGCCAGGCCGCCCTCCTCGCCCCGCGGGCCCCGCGGCGCCGACCCTCAGGAACGGGCCGCGCAGGCGCCGCGCAGGGCTCTCGGCAGCCGGCCTGGGAGCCGCCGCGCGCCTCGGCCCGCCCGCAGGCCCTCCGGCACGGGCAGGGCGGCTCCAGCCCGCGGCGCCCGAGCCCCGGCCGCGCCTCCGCCGGAGAGGCTCCGACCCCACCGAACAAAGGCGGCTTCCGGTGAGACCGACGCGGGGCGCCGACGCGGGCCCGGCGATAACGGCCGGGCGCGCAGGAGCGGGGCTCCGCGGGACCGCCCGCCGTCTGTCCGCGTGAGGGCCGGAGGGACCGGGCCCGCCCCGGGGGAGGCGGCCGGGCCGGGGGCCGCGGCGGGGCGCCCTCACCGTGGTCCTGGTTGAAGCCGGCGTAGAGCAGCCCGTTGCCGTGGGGGTTGCACGGCAGGAGGTTCATGGCGCCGCCGCCCCTCAGCACCTCATGCCGCTCGGGAGGCCGGGGCTGGGGTCCCGTCAGGCCGGCGCGGAGGCCGCCGCGGCCGGAAGCGACGAGCGGCCGTGCGTGCGCGCGCAGCCAGGGCGCTGCGGAGCGCCGGGCGCATCCACCCGCGGACGGCCAGGGCGGGGAGCGAGCGCCGAGAGCGTCACGTGCGCGGAGGTGGGCCCGGGTCTACGGGGGGCGTGGCCGCGTCCCGGGGAGGGCGGACCTGAGGAGGGCGTGTCCGCGCCCGGGGCGGGGCCTGGCCGGAGGGGGCGGGGCCTGAGCGGGGGAGGGCGGGGCGCGTCTGGGGTCGGGGACCGCCTGCGAGGGGCGGAGCTGAGCCTGAGGACGACCACCCTCGGGAGGGGAGGGGATTCAAAGAGGCCGCCGAGCCTGGAGCCCCTCATGAGCAGGCAGGGCCCAGAGCCGCCCCCGACTCCAAGAAATCATATAAATTTAGGTAAGTGTAAGAGAGTTTTCTTGTTTTAAATCGATTAGAAAGATAAATGAAAATGGTAATGCCTTACGGGGTTTTTAACACATATAGAAGTAAAATGTACACAAAAACAGCCAAATGTATACAAGTCAGCAAACAGAAGTATATGAAAGTATAGAAGCTTCTCCATTCAGAACCACCCCCATGACACAGGACCCCCCAGAATGCAGAATCCCCTGGGACACACAGAACCCCCAGGGCACTGAGCACCCTCAGGACACACAGAGCCCCCTGGGACACACAGGACCTGGCCCATGGTCCTGCTCTAATCTAACATGAGCAGCCATGGAGGCAGGAGCAGCCGGCCTTGGGGGTCTCCTGCCCAGAGAGCCCTCTGCTCTCCCGCCTCACTCTCCCGTCTCCTATCTCTCCCTCCTACCTGGACACCTGCATTCCAGGAAGCACCCCCTTCCCACCCGCCTGCTGCCCTTCCATCTGCACACTTGGGCTGCTGGTCCACCCTCCAGGGCAGAGACCTTTCCAGTGTGTGGTCGGTGTCTGCCGGAGCAGCTCTCCCTCTGTGCCGCAGATGGTGCCTCCAGTTTGTTGAATAACTGGGTTCCTCATATATGGGGGTAATGCAGGCTGGCCCGGCTTGGGGAGCTGGACAGGCAGCCGGCCCACGGTTTGGGATAGGGGCCAGGATCTAATGGCAGACCTGGGGCTCCTCACCGCAGCCCACGCACTCAGAAAGAACCCTGTTGCCAGAGGGTCTTGCTTTCGTTTGTCTGGTCATTACTGTGGAGCAAGAGTGTGCAGGTACCCATGGTGACCTCACTGACACGGGCCCTCAGGGAAGTGGAGAGACTCAGCATTTCCTTGATTTCCCTGAGGGCCACCTTTCGGGCCAACTTCAGTTCTCACCTCACTCGAAGTCCTTCTTTGGCTGCAATAGGCTGGGGGCACCAGTAAGGACATCCCCTCACCACAACCATCGCATCCTGACCGGGAAGCTCAAAGCTGCATCACCCACCGGAGTGGATTGAATGGTGGCCCCCAAAAGATGTGTCCACCCAGAACCTGTGAATGTGACCTTCCTTGGAGATTCTTTGCAGATGTAATTAAGTATCCCGAGATGAGATCATCCTGGATTTAGGGTGGGCCTTAAATCCATGACAAATGTCCTCCTTAGAAGAGAAGGGGGAAAACTGGGGAGGACAGCCATGTAACAACAGAGCCCGAGATTGGAGTGCTATGGCCACACACCACGAATGCCAAGAATTGTGAGCCACCAAACACAGTGGGAAGAGGCCTTGGGGCACCTGCCCTAGGGCCCCTGACTGTGAGAACATGGACATCCTTGTTTGAGCCAACCCTCTGGGACCCTTTTGGCAGCCCTCAGAAACTAACACACCCCCATTGATAGCTCACAAGTCTTCAGGTGGAAGACAGGAAAAGGAACTTGAAACGAGTGTTAGGATCCTCACCCTTTCCTAAGAGGGAGAGAGGAAGGCACGTTCTCAGCTCTGGGGGGCAGACTGGGGTTTGAGTCAGGGATAGAGGGCATAGGTGTTACATATGTTCCATATTAAAACCCAACTTTCTATTTGTAAGAGGAAAAATACCATGCAATATTTTAACAATATAGGCCACAGAAAGAAACACTTCCCAGAATTCCCTTGGAATACTCAGAGTACCCCTGTGAGGCAAGGAGTGTCTCCACTGGGGACTGGCTACCCATGAGATGTCTCTATTATGGGGTTATTAAAGGCTTGGGAAAAAAAGATGAAAAATACAGTGCAAGGCCAGGGGAGTTTAGCCACTTGTGGAGAATCAAATATACTCCATCCACGCAGCAATGGACAGTTTGTGGCATCCATCACCACACAATTCCACAGAGGCATGAAAAGGAACAGCCAGAGCCGTTTGTGTCCAGGTGGATGAATCTCAAAAGAATGTTGAACAAAGAAAGCAAGTTGCAAAAGTATACCTATGGTAGGATTCACAAAGCTCACAATAGGCAAACTCAACAACCTATTGTGTACGGATACATATGTATGTGGATGCAGACATATGAAGAACACCAGGGGCATGGTTTATACAGATTGGAGATGGTGGTTACTCCTGGGGGCAAGGGAGCTATAATCTCCAGTAGAGGAGGGGCATGTGTGGTCGCTGAATGATGGACCCCAAGGATGTGCACTCCTAATCTCTGCAACCTGGGAATGTGTCACTTTATATGGCAGAAGGGACTTTGCAGATGGGATTAAATTAAGGATCTTGAGATGGGGAGAGTAGCCTGGGTTATCCAAGTGGCCTGAAATGTAATCACATTATAAGGGGGAGGCAGGAAGGTGTGAAATTAATAAGAGAAACCTGGACTAAACTGGAGTGGGGAAGAACTGTAGGCAGAGCTCTCACGCCGTATCAGATAATTGTCACTGACACCAAACAGGAAGGGAAGGACGCTTGCATCTCCAGCAGGAGGTACATTGTGTAAACATGATAGAGTGTACTTACACAAACCTAGATGGTATAGCCTACTACACACTGTCAACTGACAGGGCAAGTTTGCCTGTTATTTATCTCAAAATGAGTTTATTCAAGAATAGCCAACAGAATTCCAATTTGGGATGTGTGTGCCATGGGGAACCACAGGCAGATCCAGAGAACAAAGGAGGAGCTGCTTTTACAGAGGAGGGGGGTGCAGCTCTGAAGGAAAGTCCATTGGGGGAAAGTGACAGTTCAGGGCGGCATGCTTCTCATTGGCTGAGCTTCGGCATTTGTCATTGGCTGAGCTGTGGTGTTTCTCATTGGCTGGGCTGTGGGGTTTCTCATTAGCTGGGCTGTGGCATTTCTCATTGGCTGGGCTGTGGGGTTTTTCATTGGCTGGGCTGTGGTATTTCTCATTGGCTGGGCTGTGGGGCTTTTCATTGGCTGAGCTGCGGTATTTCTCATTGGCTGGGCTGTGGCGTGTCTCATTGGCTGGGCTGTGGAGTGTCTCATTAGCTGGGCTGTGGTATTTCTCATTGGCTGGGCTGTGGGGATTTTCATTGGCTGAGCTGCGGTATTTCTCATTGGCTGGGCTGTGGTATTTCTCATTGGCTGGGCTGTGGCGTTTCTCATTGGCTGGGCTGTGGCATTTCTCATTGGCTGGGCTGTGGGGTTTTTCATTGGCTGAGCTGCGGTATTTCTCATTGGCTGGGCTGTGGGGTTTTTCATTGGCTGGGCTGTGGCGTGTCTCATTGGCTGGGCTGTGGGGATTTTCATTGGCTAAGCTGCGGTATTTCTCATTGGCTGGGCTGTGGTATTTCTCATTGGCTGGGCTGTGGGGTTTTTCATTGGCTGAGCTGCAGCATTTCTCATTGGCTGGGCTGTGGCCTGTCTCATTGGCTGGGCTGTTGGTGGTTTGGGAGAGAAATCTTCCTTCAGTCCTAAAGTAGTTGTACTTCCTGCTGGAGATATGAATGTCCTGTCTTCCTGGTTGGTGACATTGACGACATGTGATGGGGGTGAGAGCTCCCCCTACAGGCCTTCCCGATTTCGATTTGATTACAGTTTCTTTTTTTAATTCCCACAACAACTAGGCTGCATGGTACTAATCTTATGGGACCACCATCCTATATGCAGGCCATCACTGACTGAAAGGCATGGCTGGTACTCTACTACTACAGGAAGATTTCTCTCCCCACCTGGCAGCAGCCCAGATAATGAGAAGCATTGCCGCCCTGAACTGTTCCTCTCCCCCAATGGACTTTCCTTTAGAACAGCCTCTCCCTCTCCCCCCTTTCTCTGTAAAAGCAGCTCCTCCTTTGTTCTCCGGATTTGCCTGTGGTTGCCCATAGCATGCACATCCTGAGTTGCAATTCTTTTGGCTATTCCCAAATAAACTTGTTTTATGAGTAAAACAACTGTCTGATTTACTTTTTCAGTTGACAAGAGTCAGTGTGACCACAGAGGCAGAGATTGGGTGGTGCAGCCAGGAACCGAGGAATGCTGGCAGCTTCTAGAAGCTGGAACAAGCCTGGAACTGATTCTCCCCTGGAGCTTCTGGAAGGAACCAGCCCTGCCAACACCTTGCTTTTAGCCCCTTGAGACTTGTGTTGGACTTCTGACCTCCAGAACTGTAAGAAAAGGAATGTGTATTATTTTAAGCCATGAAAGCTTGTAATCTGGGATAGCATGTGGCAGGCTGAAGAATGGCCCTCAAAGATATCAGGTCCGAGTCCCAGGAACCTGTAAATGTTACCTTATTTTGGAAGAAGGATCTTTGTAGATGTGATTAAGTTAAGGACCTGAGATGGGGAGATTATCCTGCATTACGTGGATGTGCCCTAAATGCCATCACCTGTGTCCTTATAAGAGGACAGCAGAGGGAGATTTGACACACACAGGAAGATAGGGCAGGACAAAAGCAGGACCCCACATGAACACACACCAGAATGGGGCAGTGTCCAAGTCAGCCGAAGACGAGACGCCCGTCCTGGTGACTGAGCGTCTGCCACTTCTTACCAACGACAGCTTCACTTTGCTCGGCTTTCCCACCTTCTAGATAAGAATTATTAAGATAGCAGTCTCAGAATCTGCACCATGACAGCTTTAAACACAGAGCAAAGTGCATTTCCTCCAGCACTCCCCAGTCGCCCAGGACAGGCCCT